TCGGCTCCGATTTTGATGAGAATTTGCACAGTTGTTCTTTTTTAGTAAAGATGCCAATTTGTGTTATCAGTTCTTCAAATTGAATCACGACTACTTTTCTAACAGGGCCTGTGTAAAAATAGTACTAATGAGTTAAAAAATATATATTGCTGAAACGGTTTGTTGGATTGATTTGGTATCTTGAGCAAAGTTGTAGATATTATTTTGGCAATAATGTTAAAAATATACACTGTAAAAAATTTCGTTTGTATCAATGAAAAAAATTATATTTGTACTTCAAGTTGGCGATGCAACCAAAAGTATATATTGTTTATGTGTTTCTCATTTAATCTCTCGATAGCCGACTATCGAAAGAAAATATTCATTTTGTTTTGTGATCATGCATTTTAAGAGTCATGACGGAGAGCTTGGGTTAAACCAAATATATCATATTAACAATATGATCCAGTCATGCCTTTTCCAAATATTCCCTTCCAGGGAAAGCTGAGAGACCAAATATTAAACTTTTCTGTAGAAGAAAAAAAAATCAAGTGAAGTCTTGAAGCATTTCTGGCACATTTTAAAAGAAACTTCCGGGAAAAATTTCAGCAGAAGACGGAAGAATCTTCTGAGAGAATTTAAAACCAACTTCCGGAAGAGGTCGGAAAAAACTTCCTAGTAAGTCGGAAGCCGTTTCCGCGGGAAGTCAGCAGGATCTCGAAAAAAAAATTCCAGAACAATTCGAAAACCAAAAAAATAGGATAGAAGTGTCAAGTAACTTCCTGTAAAATCTGGTAGAAACTTCCTGGTGTTGTTCGGAAGAAACTTCTGAAGAAAGTCGGACGAATCGCAGAGAGAATGCCAAAAGAAAGCTGGAAGACACTTCTGGGAGCAACCAGAAGGATTTCTTGGAACTGATTAATTAAATTTCCGGCAAAACTGGAAGAATTTTTCCGAGAACGCTGAAAAACAGAAAGCAATTCCAAAGAAAGATATAAGCTTTTCTGAATAAGAAGAAAAAACCCGAAACATTCTGGCACATTTTGAAAGAAACTTCCGGAAAAATCTTCAGGAGAAGTTGAAAGAATCTTCTTGGAGAAGTTAGAAGAAACATCCGGAAGAGGTCGGAAAAAACTTCCTATTAAGTCGGAAGCCGTTTCCGCGGGAAGTCAGCAGGATCTCGAAAAAAAAATTCCAGAACAATTCGAAAACCAGAAAATTAGGATAGAAGTGTCAAGAAATTTCCTGTAAAATCTGGTAGAAACTTCCTGGGGTCGTTCGGAAGAAACTTCTGAAGAAAGTCGGACGAATCGCAGAAAGAAAGTCAAAAGAAAGCTGGAAGACACTTCTGGGAGCAACCAGAAGAATTTCTTGATAAATTAAATTTTCGGCAAAATTGACAAAGCGTTTCTGGCTAAAAAGAAAAAAGATCGAAAGAAGTATTGAAACATTTCTGGCACATTTTGAAAGAAACTTCGGGGAAAAGCTTCAGGAGAAGTTGGAAGAATCTTCTTGGAGAAGTTAGAAGAAACATCCTGAAGAGACCGGAATAAACTTCCTAGACAGTCGGAAGCCATTTCCGGGGGGAGCCAGAAGGATATCGAAATGAAATTCCAGAATAATTCGAAAAAGTTGGGGTTCCTGGGGGAGTTCTAACAAAACTTCCTGGGGAAGTTCGACAGAAACTTCTGAAGAAAGTCGGAAGAATCTCAGAAAGAAAGTTAAAAGAAAGCTGGAAGACACTTCTCGGACTTTATCTGACTTCCCCCAGAAGCTTCGTGGTTTTTCCAGAAAATTTCATAATTTTCTGATTTCTCCCGGAAATTTGGAGAGAATTATTTCTGGTTGAAGTTTTTTCCTGTCTTTTCCAAGAAGTTTATGCCGACTTCCCTGAAGTGTCTTCCAACTTTCTTTTAACTTTCTTTCAGAGATTCTTCCGACTTTTTTCTGAAGATTCATCCGAACTGCCCCAGGAAGTTTCTTACGAACTACACCAGGAAGCAATCCGAAAAAAAATCATGAACTCCAGAGAAAGCTGGAAGAAACCTCCGAGAGAAGACGGTAGAACCATCCAGGCATAAACTTCTTGGGAAAGATGGGAAGACACTTAAGGGAGAAGACTGATGAATCTTCCGAGCGAAGTCAGAATCTGGGGGAAGTCGACATTTTGGACAGAAGCCAGAAATAATTCTCTTAAAAAAACGGTACTTGTTGAAAATTTCCAGGAAAAATGTGAGGCTTCTGGAGGAAGTCAGGAAAAGTCCGGGAAGATCTAAAAACAACTTTTGGGAGAAGTTGGAAGAAACATTCGAGTAAGGTTAGACAAAACATCCTTGGATGTCGGAGGGCAATTCCAGACGAAGTTGATAGTTGAAAAAAAAACTTCTGGCTTGTAGAAAGACTTCTACCAGAAGGGAAAATCGGGAGAAATCAGATGAATCATTCGGGCGAAGTCGAAATTCCGAAATTAATCGGAGGAATCTTCCGGGGAAGTCAACATGTTTTAATATTTAAAAACGTACACACTTGGTCAATGTATCAATTTATTTCCCAAATCTCCGGTAGCCAAAAAATCCCAGGAAATGTAACAACTAATAACAGTATTGGCGGCCAAATAGAATTATCAACTTTTTAATAACCAAAAACAAAAACATTTCATAAAAAAATTGTCCCTTAAAACGCTAAAATTGCCTAGAAGACTTTGAAAATGCCACGAAATAAGCTGTAAACATGTTAGACTGACCAAAAAAGCCTAAACATACATTTCAAATGACCCATAAAGATCGAAAATCGGTCATACAATGGCAGAGATATGAGCAAAACACATTTACATGTTTTTTTAAAGGGTGACCCCAAACTTATGATCGGGAGTGTAAAATGATCTAAAAAACACCACAATTCTAGACAAACATTTCAAAAGGTCCTATCTGCATTGATCGATTCTCTTCATCGACTTTCTCTTTCATCAATAACTCAGCTGCAAAACCTTTCCCTGTTGTATTTGACGTTTTGAACGCTAGATAAGAACCTCCTTTATCAAAATATGTGGTAGAATTAGTGCGAAATCTGTTTGCATAGCAGTGGTTATGAAAAGAGGAAGAAGAATCGATGAAGATAATCGATCAAAACAGATAGGACCATTTGAATTGTTCATCGAGAATTGTTGTTGGCGACAAAGGATAACATTTCTAAAAATAATCAAACCAGAATACCTTATTAGCCAAAACCGCGAACAATTGAAAGGCTTATACAATCCAAATAAAAAACAATAAACAGTTCGAACCGCGAACATCGCCGCAGTATTCCTTCCGCTAAAGATCGAGGTTTCCCTGCGAGATCCGAAACCCACGAGTTCTACGAACATTCCGTCGCGTGTAGTCAGTTTTAAGGGGTAAGTCACTCAGCACATTGTTCCGAAATTAGATTCGGCACACCTTCGGCACAATCTCGTAGGCATTGGATTGTTGTAAATAGAATGGTAACACTTCTAGACAACTGTCATTGAAGATGTTAACGACATTACGTGCTGTTTGACTGTATATTCAGGAACATCCTCTAATTGTCTTATTGAATATACCAGAGGAACTCAGACTAGCAATTTACTTCTCGGTTCACTTATAGATTTAAATCCGAAATGTAGGTTCTAACGTGGGCTCGAGAGAAAGAGACAGTTAATCAGACCCCATTAGTACCCTTAATTCAAATAATGCTGCAACTAATACAAAACAAACTACAGAAGTTAAATTCATCATCCTCTATATTCGGTCTCCAACAATGTTCCCCACCGGTTCCATTCTTTTCGACCGTTGTTTTTCACATCACGGTTCACATAGGTTTCTGGTCTGCCTTTGAGTACTTTTATTATCCTACGAACACAAGAAAAATTCCGGCGTCATCCTCAATCGGCTTGCGAACGAATACTCTGAATTTGAGCATGTAGACCGGCACAATCGGCACACCTGCAGCACACAGATAAAAAAAGATGATCCAAGATTGCTGTGCGGAGTGACCTGTCCCTTGATCCGCTAAGTATTATTATTATTATTATTATTTAGCTTTATTAAGGAGGCTTTCAGCCTTGATCCGCTAAGTGTTTTTCCCACGAAACCCGCAGAAACGTCTAAAACGGCACATTTCAGTGCGATTCCCCGCCATTATGTCCCCTCTCTGGCTCGCCGCTGGCCCAGGTTGGCTGAAGAAACACCTTCGAGATACCGGCATAATTAAAATTATTGGTCCGACACAATCAATTGTCTAAATACTAAAACCAACATCCATAGACTACTAAAAGATTTGAAATAGTCCTAAAAACGTCAACAATATCTTAAAATACCAAAATAAGATAAACAGCATCAAAATGCTAATGGCTATAAAACGTCAAAATCACCAAAAAGACTTTAACAAAGTAAATACGTATTACCTTCAGGACAAGATTGTCAGAATCCTCCCACGTCGCATTTTCAGAAGTCGTGCAGATCTGAAACTTAAACTCGCTGCTTACTTCTCTTATATGAAAAGCGATTCAGTCAGCCGTGTCCTTAAAACTTCATCACCCTTAAATACTTTAAAAACCGTTCTAGAACTTCTGAAAAAATTGCCATAAAAATACGGAAAATAATAAAACAGCAAAAAGGTTATCTTCCATTTAATTCCACTTAATACATTTAATTCCACGGAAAATAAATTAAATTAACCAACATCGCATAAAACACGAATAAAAGACGGTTTAGAAAAATCGAAAAAAATGGGCTTCAAATCAGCAAAATGGCAAAAAACACCTTAAACGTCTGGAAAAAAACTGCATGTTTAGACAAAACGTAGCCGTCTTTCAAAAATTTAATGTAAATTTTGTTTACGCAATAAATTCGCAATTTATTTGCAACGTATTTTTTCACAATTAAAAAAACTTTTTTTTCCATAACTAACTCTCGCTTTAGAGCGGTCCCAGCAGCCGTTCGTTCAACGAAAATTCTCCCCCAACATAAACAAGAATCCCTCTAGTTCCAATTAGCATAACTCACCTGAATCCAGCAAAAAAGCGGCAGCAGAAAACCAATTTCCTACACCGGCTAATGATTTAACCGGCAACCCGAAACCACTCTTCCTTCACTGCAACACTGCGACGAGCCACAACACATGCTCTTCAGTCCTGTAATCACGCCGATAGAACAATATCACACAACCCTCACGCGATTGATTGGCGCGGCACAGTCCACGTCGTCGTCCCTATCGTTTAAAAGTACCAGCTTCCAGAGCGGATCTATCAGTTCTTGCAATATTCAATAGCACACCCGGGAATGATTGATGGCTTAACCACTTAGCACAGCAGCCAGTTCTCCGGCGGAACGTCGCGTTACACGCAATCACCACACACTTTCAACGTATCTCCGAGGAGGCCTGCACAATAAGTAAGAAACGTCCACTCGATCCGACTGCAGCTTCCACACTGACTGACCATGTACGATCACAACCCATCGATCGATCTCTCGGGCAGGAGCATCCTCTTAGAACACTTTCCCCAGCACCACACCAACGAACGACCACTCTCACTTCCCGTTTTTCATGTATAGGATCGACCGGCACGGTATGGGATGTTCTACAGAGCTGTGGGTGATTTTGCTTGACTGTGGTGGCAATCTCGCCGAAATACGCGTCCACTACTAAGCGAGTTCCAAACTCGACTGATGATGGGCGACTAGCTGGATCGAGAAGTGTGATGCGCTTCTTGCGGTTTAGAACTCAGAAACCTGCTGGGCTGGCGCTGGACTGGAAAAGCGAGAAAAAAGAAACATACAAGAGAGTAAGCGAGCTTGTTAGTTGTTAATTCTCACGCTCTCGCTCTCGATTTGTAGTTGTTTGTAGAGATAAACATGAGAGATTTCATGGCGTGGGCCATGGGGTGGATTAGGTGGAAAAACAATCTGAAGTCATGATCGCTTGGAAAATTATGAAAGGAAAGGCCATTCCCTGAGGCAATATGCAATCTGAAGATGTTCCCGTTTGAACATCGGGTAGCTTAAGGGATTTGAACATATCGGTTCCATAAGTGAAACTTGCATGTATCGTGACGACACAGAAGTTAGTTGAGTCGTTTTTAAATTGATTTCGAAATGTTTTTCCACGAGAAACGAGTTGTTTTGATTGGAAAACGTCGAAATTTGAAGTTGAGGGAAATAAGAACTCTTTAAGCTTGAAGTTGACTTGTCCTATGGTGAAATCCACAGCAGTTAGTAGAATAGAATAATAATGTCGTGATCAATCACGGGAAAAATCATTCCCACGCTCCTCGATTTCCAAACGGATGATGAACGAAGCGTGCACATTGATTCGGAACTCAACTGAAGCCAGTAAAACGAAACAGGCGAGAAACTGAAAGAATGTGAAAAAAAACATTCCCTACTTATGTGCGATTGTTCTAGTGTAGCTTTTGGGCTAAAGTAGAGTGGGCAAGAGAGGATCCAGTATACTACACGGTAAGAAAAAAGTACCCAACGGCCAGTTCACTTTTACCTACTTTTGACTAGTTTGTCTTCTTTTCTCCTTCTAATGTTGTCAAAAACGGAGAAGCAAAACTATCCAACAGGGGTAGTAAAGTGTGGGAACCCAACGTTGAGTATAAGCATATTTACCTACTGTTGGGTACAACTAACTTACTTTTGAGTAGAAAGCTAGTGGAAAATTCCATACGAATTGCACACAAGTAAATGAAAACTACTTTGGCCCGCTTCCAGGCGAGTAAGAGAGGTGCCACAGTCGGAAGAAGTGTTAGTTTGTTTACTTAAATGAACCATGCCCATTTTGTTATGGCATGTTTGCTATAAGAAATGCTCCTCGTGTTTATTAGCGAATTTCACATCAAAGATTGATTAATTGAGTAGGAAATCAGTTTGGCACGGCATTTGTGACCAGCATACACCTTCCGGTAGTATGAAACAGGTCAAAAACTGTCCAAATCCGCAGATAAAATTTTTTTTTTCGTGAACATTAACGGCAAAGAACTCACCAACACTGGGAGACTGTGAGTTCCTGCTCACCTGTCATTTCCTATCTCGGGCCCGCTTTACCTACTTTTGGGTTCCTGCACTATAGTGCTGAGATAAGTGAAAAGAACTTATTTTTGGGTACTTTTTTCTAACCGTGTAGACCCTCTCTAGGCTAAAGTTTCGGAACAATTCAAGCTGAACAATGCATTAGGTCCTAAGAAACAATGACAGATTCTCTTCATCGACTTTCTGCATTATTCATATGACTTATTGTATTATTGATTTTATACTTTGACATACAAACGACGAAAATCAGCACAGCAGATAAAAAAGCATGCACATGACATCCACGCCAAATAAATATCCCTGCAAATGAAAAGCAACGAATCCAGATGAATAATTTCTTGATATTTTTTAACACTCCGAATACGATGCCTCCGAAAAACGTGTAACGGCAAGTTTGAAATGGCACAACTTAGCCATTTCTTAATGAATTTCAAAAATTGTGGTGATTTTGATTGCAAAAAACTTGAAAATAGAGTCGTCTACTTTTTTAAAAAGCTAAAAGAGTTGTTACACGTTTTTTTGAAAGGTGTGTTTGTAGGGGTTTGCAAGTGGCGCAAGATCTGTAATTTAGATTAATGGGCACAAATGTTCACAATTAGCCAGAATACAGTCATGGTTCCTATATATGGATCCTGGAGACAACGGAACGGTCCTCGACAAATCCGGAACATCCGTAAAACTGGTCAATCCAAGATCCTGATCCTAGAGCTCTGCGGTTTTTTTTTGAAAACATTAGGAACTGTGATATAAACAAATATTTGGGGTCGCGACATAAACATGTACATGGATGGCCATAGGACCGTCCTCCGGAAGATCCGGAACATCCGTAAAAGTGGACAATCCATGAATCGGATCCTAGAGCTCCGTGTTTTTTTTAACATTATGATCTGTGATATAAGAATGAATTTGGGTCATGGACCCAGATGGCCATGGGACCGTCCTCCGGAAGATCCGGAACATCCGTAAAAGTAGCAAATCCACGATCCTGATCCTAGAGCTCTGCGTTTTTTTTTTTATAAAAACGCGTAGCTCTAGGATCAGTTTCATGGATTGATCACTTTTACGGATGTTCCTGATCTTCCGGAGGACGGTCCTATGGCCAGGTTCATGTTTATGTCACAAGCCCAAATTCTTTCTATCATCACAGTTCCTAATGTTTATAAAAAAAACGCGGAACTCTAGGATCAGGATCGTGGATTTACTACTTTTACGGATGTTCCGGATCTTCCGAAGGACGGTCCCATGGCCATCTGGGTCCATGACCCAAATTCATTCTTATATCACAGATCCTAATGAAAAAAAACACGGAGCTCTAGGATCAGTTTCATTGATTGTTCACTTTTACGGATGTTCCGGATCTTCCGGAGGACGGTCCTATGGCCATCCATGTACATGTTTATGTCACGACCCCAAATATTTGTTTATATCACAGTTCCTAATGTTTAAAAAAAAAACCGCAGAGCTCTAGGATCAGGATCATGGATTGACCAGTTTTACGGCTGTTCCGGATTTTTCGAGGACCGTTCCGTTGTCTCCAGGATCCATATATAGGAACCATGACTGTATTCTGGCTAATTGTGAACATTTGTGCCCATTAATCTAAATTACAGATCTTGCGCCACTTGCAAACCCCTACAAACACACCTTTCAAAAAAACGTGTAACAACTCTTTTAGCTTTTTAAAAAGTAGACGACTCTATTTTCAATTTTTTTTTGCAATCAAAATCATCTAAAAACCCTAGGAATTCTAAAGGTACCACAATTTTTGAAATTCATTAAGAAATGGCTAAGTTGTGCCATTGCAAACTTGCCGTTACACGTTTTTCGGAGACTTCGTAGTCGGCGTAAAGTTTTTTACCCACCGTATTCGGAGTGTTAAAGGGCAAGGAGTGAATGATATTTGATATAATGTGCGTTACACATTGAAAACATTGGACATAACTCCTCTGAATATCCTAATAACAATTTCACAATTTTTAAACATGCTCTTAACAAGCAAAGTTTTACTATGGTATCCATAAAAAAAATAAACTTACTATTTAAACATTTTTATTATAATATTTAGCGTGGAATACGATTCCTTAGACCTTAAGGTGAATGTGGATCGGTTCAGAATGACTCACTTCATCATTTTTTTACATAATACCGCAACGCCAGTTGATAAAACTCTTCCGTGCAAAATTAAAGAACTATCTCCAGCAATGTTTACAAGATTGATTTAATATTCAAATTTTCTGAAAACCATTTTCAGAGTTCAATTTTAGGACCACAATCAAGTGGATACTAATTTTGCTTATCAATTACACAAGTATTTAGTATGAAAGGTCATATTTGACATCCGTAGATCGTTTTAAAATATTGTTAGGAACATTTCCTCGGAAGACAATATACCTGTAAAATGCATTATTTCAATACAAATCTTCTTTTCTTTTTTTTTTGGTAACGCAACCGCAGGCATTAGATTTCGTTTTCCTTTTGCATGTATCTGTGCGTAATCAGTCTCCAGGTGGAAGAACAATGTGATTTAGGCTGTGAACCATTTGCCGAGTTAAATTTAACTCGTGGTTAAAAATGACATTTCGAAAGTTATTTTCTATGTTCGAAAATCCCTGTGCTGCCGATCGACCGGTTTTCGAGAAGAACTTAGCCAAGGTTGTCAAAATTTAACTTCTTGTCTGTCAGAAGTAACCACGCTCGGATAGCAGGATTAATCAATAACTTTCCATCTGTCAAATTTTAACCAAAAGTTAAAATAATCCACCAAATGGTTCAGAGCCTTAGAATGCTCGCACAAAACAGAGAAGCGAAAAAGGCAACACGACGGGGAGATCCATGAATGAATGAGCAAGCAAAACCATCAGCACCGAGAGCATGATCAAGCTCGCGCGTGACGTTTTTCGTTCGCAATAATTGATGAATATTGTAAGATATCTTTTGGTATTCCAATTCGAATTATTCTGCGAAAATTACCGATAATTGGAAACGGATGAAATAATTATTCGGCAATGTCATCTATGCATCTATGCAAGAACTCCTAGATGAAAGTGCTTGAAAATAAATATAAAAATAGTACTAAATTGAGAGTATTCCTAAATCATGTTGGATACGCTTGTATTTGTGAAATAATAAAACCAATTCAAGTGTGTATATGCGTAAACTTATTGCCAAAAAAAGCGTTGATTTAGAAGTCAAGCTACAGTGAATGTGCATAGTTCGAAAATGGGTTTCAAGAAGCGAAAACAATAAATTTAAAAACGGACCCCACACCTGAATCTTCTGTAAGTGAAAATGGTGGTTCATCACCGGAAGTTGCGAAGGCTCCTGAAAGGGAAACAGTGTGCTTGGCGCTCGCCGCCCGAAGACAAACCAGCCAACAGGTGAAAGTTTGGAAACTGAAGAGTAGCAGCAAAACAGCTCCTTTGGATCGTTCCTAACGATTTCGGATGATGGCGGAAGGTAAGTCCAAACAATTGATTTTCAATTATTATTATTGCTATCATTATTTTTAGAGACAATTAAATAAATTGAACTATTTTGGAAATTCTAAATATTTTTAAAGATTATTAGATAAAGATATAGTCAACTATTTTAGAAATCATC